GTTACCCAAAAGAGAAGTACAGCTCAAAAAAGGTTTAGCTCTACATGTCTTTTAAGCACATTGTAGGACAAAAGTTGCACACATTCCAAAAATCAGATGATTATGGGCAAAAAAAATAAAAACTTTCCGGAACAACCTAACTTGCCTAATGTCTTAGAACACCACTAGCCACTGAGACACGTCAACTTCTGCTGAATCAAAGTGTTCTACACACCGATCCTGAAGAAGTGGCGACTAAAGTGTCACACAACGAGTTGATGTCTTTGATTGTTGTATGACAAATGGCTACCACTGCTGACCTTACCTCTAGTTTCCTCCTTTGGGGGAAAAAACTTTCTACTCGGAAGGCCCTTTTCACACTGTCTGATCAGGAGAGGATCCGAGCACAGATCGTCACCTGAACACAGCAGTGACATCCGTGTCCATACAGTTTTTTCCTCTATCTTGCGATGGAGGAAAAAAAACTACAATTGCCAGACCCCATATCAGTCTATGGGAATCGTAAATGGATGTAAATGGACATGTGTTAGTTTACATCAGATCACTCCCGATCAGACACGATCCAGTCCGGCAAAACGGAACAAGTTTGTTTTTTCGGACTTGACCAGTCAGAGGTAACCGGTTGTAAACGGGCGCCCGGATGTGTGAAAGGGGCCTAAAATAATCGGTTCTTGTAAGGTCAACTTTCAAGTGACACTAAACTCAGGAGTTGTACATGAATGCATTTTTAAGATGCCTTAACTATTAACAAAAATGTATCTTATTTGTGTATCACTCGGCTGTACCCTGTTTCCCTGAAAATAGGACCTAACCCGAAAATAAGACCTAGTACTATTTTTGGGAATTGCTAAAATATAAGACCTACCCCGAAAATAAGACCTATGTGTGACCATTCCCAGGGCCGGTGGTGGCATAAGGGGGAACTTGAAGAGCCGCGGGAGAGACAGTAGAGAATCAGCGGTGCCAATGAAGCCAGCGCTAATTGACTACTTTACAACACACACAGGGACCATGGGGAACAGAAGTATCCCCCCTCCAGAAGGAAGGACAGTGTCAGCACCAATTCAGAGATGATTTGAGGATCTACAACCGAGCTATACACAAATAAGATACATTTTTAATAGTTGGGGTACTTAAATGTATTTTTAAGATTTCAGTGTCACTTTAAGAGTGTACTCACACTGGGCACAGTTGAACAGAACCAAGCCAGAGTACGATTGACTACCTTTCCTTACTCCTCCCCCCACCAGTCTGTGCTCACACGGTTCTAGAAGGAAACATTCCCGGGCTCACTTACTTCATCTCCCCTGCCAGCCAGAACACAGTGATCCCTCCTTCTGTGCTCCGTGGTCATTGAGATTTCAGTACTTGGGCACGGTTTGTGCTCCCACTGAAGCAAACCATACCAGACTCCAAATGGACAGTGCCCCAGACCAGCTATTTCAAGTGGTCTTGGGCATGGTTTGGAGCCCTCAAACTACACAAACTGGAGTAAGGAGGTGAACCGTGCCCTTTCCTGCCTTCCGTCCAGACATACGCCGTTCGCACATCTTTCTCGCCATTAGATGGAGCCAAGTGGCATAGAAACTACACTATTATCTGATATCCACTGACAAAGGTGGCCATGTATAAGAAACTTTTCTTCTGGGCACACTTTATGCCAGGATGCCATACCTGCAGTTTTAGGAATCAAGAACCAAAGCAAAGAATTGCAGCCTCTGACCAGGAATTGGAGTCTCAAAAGGGATGAGACAAAATGATGCAAAATCACCGTTACAATATTTGGGGCAAGCCAAACGCAAGGAGGACTAAACACGAAATCATAACCTATAATGTAACTTGAGAATGAGATGTCTGCCGACATGGATTCCCAACCTCTCATGTTTGTATACAATCGATTTGCACAAATCTTTAAATCAACAACATTCGAAAAACCTCAAACTCTAAATACTTCTAATTAAACTATGTTACACATACCCCTCACACACCTGTTTATATAGAATGATGAAATGCCTTCTTCCAACGTGCATCTCAACATAACACGGTGCATTTTCTTTTTCATACTCCTTTACTTTTACCTGGGTCAGCGGAGTTTAAAGGCAGCGCCATGATTCAGAATCTAGAACTGCACTTTCCACTGATCTCTATTCTATGAATCCTTCAGGACAGAACTACATTAGGACTAGGGATGCACCGATACCGGTATTTCGGACCGATATTTTTGTTACGGTACTTGCCGATAACGAAAGTCCCATTAAGGAAGCCAGGCGGCGTATAAAACTTTCTGGCCAATCAGGAAGCCGGGCGCCGTGTCATTACATGGCACCCAGCTTCCTAATTGGCCAGCTTCCTGACCAATCAGGAGCCGGGCAGCAAGTCAATACTCGAAGCGAGTCAATCAGAAGGCCGGGCAGCGTGATATTGGCTAGGCATCGGAGCATTTGGGCAAGCACGAGTACTCGCCCAAATACACGACATCGTCACCAATACTAGTATAGGTGCATCCCTAATTAGGACTGCAGAATATGGGGACCAAATGTATTTAAAATCATGACAGAAATGGAACTGACAAGGTGCTGTCTTAAAGGACTGCTGGAAAATACATTTCTGGCAATTTTACAGCCCCTATTTTCTTTGACAGCACTACCTTGTAGATTTACCAAACACCTGGCTGAATTCCAGGCAGACAAACTGCTCAATACACAGATTAAATACATTTAAGTATTTACCTGCTAGAGAAATTGTATTCTTGCCCATCCAGTCCTGAGATTTATAAAGCTCTACCTGGCAGGGCAGGAGACCCAATTTTAAACTGCTGTTTTAAAGAAGAACTCCGGGCTGATTAAATTGTAACCCTTGCAGTGGGGCTACCGTGGTTTAATGTCCCTCGGCCTCCCCTATGTCCAATACACTGTATTGGAGGTGATGATTCAGGGGTTCTTAAAGCGCTGGAGAAAAGGGGGAGAGAGGCTATAGGCACCAGTCGAGCAGCCATCCCAGGTTCGGGTGAGTAGATCTTTATTTTAGCTCCCTAGACAAAATGAGCCTCTTGAAGTGCAGGGATAGCCCCACTGCAAGAGTTAAGATTTTATATGCCCAGAGTTCTTCTTTAACACTTAAAGGCCTCCTCCTAGTCCCCAGACTGTGAATGAGCAATGAAAAGGAAAAGGCTGATTACTTAATCTCGGTCTCCTATCAGAATATACCTGGCACTGAAGCACATTTGATTGGCTCCTTGTGCTGCTTTCCCCCAGCTACATTGATTTCAGTCTTTTATATCTGATTGGAGTTGAACTTAAACTAAAGCATAAAAAAGGCAGCAATGAAGCCAATTCACAACCTAAAATAAACGCTCCAACATTGAATTAGAGAAAATTCCAATGTGTGACAACATTTGTATACAGTTTAGTACATTATAACATTAATCCTATCACACTCGGACCCATACTACCTGAACCTTGGGATAAGAAGAAACTGACCAGGTCTGGTAGGATTGGAGCTTTTTAAACTCAACTTGACCTGGACCATCTGACAACCTCAAGGAAGCATCATCATAAAAATGGGAATTATGACCTGTTTTTGCATATAAAAGCATGTGGCCCTCTATGCTCAATAGCCAATTGTGGGTTCAAATATTACAAGAACAAATCACACAAAACAAGCCTGGACAAAAAGTAAATTCATTGCATTCACTACCTGAACGCTAAATGCAGCCCCCACCAGCACACTGCATCTCAGCTGCCGTCATCACATTGTGCTTAAAGTGCATTTCCACTTTTGCAGAATAAAAAAGAAAAAGAAAACCCTTACTACAAGTTATGTGTTCCCATTCACACGGCATAACTAAAAGGTGATTGTTCAAATATATTATTCAACTTTCTAGCAGGTTTATACATAGGACTCTATGGGCAGCTTCTATTGTTCACAATATATTCCAAAAGTGTAATTAAGGGACAGAATGAGGGACAGTTTAAATGCAACAACATAATGTACCACCTAAGCCTTGAAATCTATAACCCTGTGTTAGGACAGTATCCACAAGTAGTTTACAAATCATAATGAGATCTGCCAGCACAGTACAGACAGGGTTAATTATGGTAAACATACCTCCCCTGCCCCCACCTTAAAGTGACACTAAACTCTGGATTTACAGCCGAGTGATACACAAATAAGATACATTTTTGTTAATAATTAAAAGGTACTTGCTCTCTGGGATAGATGTTGACGTACCGTGGTAACGACATCCCAGACTAAGTAGATCATGAACCCGCCTATTGTTGTTACATATGGTATATTTTCTTAATATGTAACCATTTGGTCTCGTATGGAAGTGTTGGCTATTTGTATTGTGATGTGTGTGATATTTCTGCATTGCTCACAATGTAGCTATTATTCAATGTGCCTTGCCGTTGGCTAACGGCTCATTATTTGTCGAACTCTGTTACGTGTTCTTTTTTTCTTTTCTTCTTTTTATTTTTTTGTACTTGAAACTATGTAAAATCAATAAAAACTATCGGATTTTAAAAAAAATTATTAAAAAAGGTACTTAAACATTACATAGGAGAATGCTTGGTAGTATTTTTAGGCAAATAAAATGCAACAGGTAAGTAGCAATTATCATGTTTTTTTTAAGTTAACCGATGTGAATGGAAACATGCAACAACTATAAAAGGAGGCATTATCCCAGCTTGGCTGCACAAGTGGAAATACATTTTAACATTGCTCAAGTCCAGAAAGCTGTTTCTTCCGCTATCTATATGAGACAACTACACTTAAACCAGCCGGGTAAGGGGCAGGGCTCATCTCAAGACACTGGCTGATTTATATGGTAAATCAGAATCCTCAACAAATAAGCCCCCACCTGGGCAGGTTACCAATTTTCTGAATCCTTCACAGTTCATGTAATGTATATAGACATACTTTAAGTGTGAGCTCATTAAGTCATGAAATGTTATTTTTCCTTAACACGGTAACTTTGAATTAGTTTTTATTGCAACCAAAACATACTTTCCCTTGAACTGTACAGAAATTAAACTATAATATATACACAAACTATTTATCTTTAAGTTACAGGGTATCAGCATACACTTTTTGGCATTCAGTTTATCAAGGGGTTTTGCATAAACTTCTAAGTTTCTGATAAGCTCAAACGTAATAAATTTGGTGTAAGAACAATAAGTCTGCCCAGTTTGCTAAACATCATACCGAACTTGCCACTCTCATTCTTCACTGTTTCCTCTTACGTTCTGACTCCAAGCAAAACTTCTCATAAGCTTCTTCCATCTCGGGGTCCATTTCATTGTCGTCTAAATCATCGAGGAAACTAGAAGGAAAAAAAAGTCAATAAATTGAAGTCTGTTACACCCTCTGCTGCCTTCTTGTGGTCAGAACTACCTACTGCATTAGAGAAGTATCAGGAGAGTAAAATATACTCTTCCCAATAGTTTAAGCCAACGTGGGAGACTGCAGATGTCACATGACAGTTTTATAAACCAAGAGCTAAGCGATCACAATCCGCTGATCACTCAGCTCACGGACACCTCCCTGCACAGAGCTGTGACTGTCAGTTACACTCCCTGCAGGGATTCCCCGCTCCTCTTTGTTCCTCCAGCACCCATTGGGTTCTAGAGAGACAGAGCCTGCTGTCAATCAGGAAGCGGGGTAGATCCCGACAATATTGTTGGGATCCTTCGCGGCAGCAGTTTGGCTCTGAGCTGTCAGCATACAGTAAAGCGGTAGCAGTAACCCACTATATGCTGGTTTGGGTCACAGGAGTCCATTGGTAAAAGGACTCCTCTGATCCAAAAAAGATGTAATGTAAAAAAAAAAAAAAGGTTTGGCTTTACTTCTCTTCTAAGAGCACAACTGCAGACAAATATGACAACTGAAAACTTGATGGAGACAGAATTATATAATACACCCCAAATCTAACGCCAAGTGTTTTGGATAGATTGAGGAATTGATAACATTTCCGTTAGAAATAGAAAATCTTTATCTGGGGAGTTCGTCCATTACTTCCTGTCCCTGTGACTCCTGCACAAGTAAGGAGGAGGGGTGCGATTGTGACTGGGACAGGAAATCACCAGGACTGCAACCAACTAATTGATAATGAGAATAGTTGACAACAATTCTCATTACCGATTAGTTTATCTGGATCCCCTAGTTCTCACCTCCGTGATGGAAGCCGATGTTTCATCGGCTTTGTGTCCCCTCCGATCTCGGCGGGGATCAGAGGAAGCACAGATCCCTGCAGCTGGTGCCCAGCAGTGAGGAGAGCTCCCCCCAAAACTCCCCCTAAACCCACCCCAATATAGATACAAACAATAAAAACATATCAAAATCTCTTAACTCTTCCGCACCCTATCCAAAGAAAACACTTCGCTGGAGTTAGAATTTAACAGTACCAGCAAGTATAGGGGAGAATGTGACCCTCTTCCCTTTCAGAACATGGCACCTGATTGGCCAAGCCCCAGCTAGATTATGTTGGTATGAGGAGCAGTAGTCTCTAAGCTGAGGCAAGCCTGTAACTTCCTTACTATCATATAACTGTGTGAGAGGCTGTGCCTTGTACATTTCTCCACCACAGGAAACAATGCAAATAAAGATTTAGTGTTATACATTTACATTATAAAAAACAAATCAACAGTGGTATTAAAAGTAAAGACATACGAGTCTCCTGAACCAGGTAGATCTGTCCCATTCTCCTCAAAGAAGAAATCCTCTCTATCCAGCATCTCCTGGTACTTCTCTTGATAATCTGAAAACACAACAGTTGGATCCTTAACCAATTCCAGTATTAACAGGACAAAGGGTACTGACCAATTATAACATGTATGCAGCAGAAAAGAAATATGTTCCCACCTGGGTCTGCTGCAGTGAAGGGAATGCCATCGGACGTATAAAACGTGGGCTCGTTCTAAAACAAAGAAAATGGAAAAAATGCATCATTACAAAACTTGTCAGGAATGCGCTATTGCAGTTGTCAGGTTATGGAATTTTTTTTCTCTTATTTACTCCCCTTCACACTATTATTAGTTGCATCTTCAACACCACTTGTTTTCTCAACTGTCCTCTTCCCTTACATACTACCTTCTTCAATCAACTGTCCTCTTCCCTTACATACTACCTTCTTCAATCAACTGTCCTCTTCCCTTACATACTACCTTCTTCAATCAACTGTCCTCTTCCCTTACATACTACCTTCTTCAAAACTGTCCTCATCCCTTACATACTACCTTCTTCAATCAACTGTCCTCTTCCCTTACATACTACCTTCTTCAATCAACTGTCCTCATCCCTTACATACTACCTTCTTCAATCAACTGTCCTCATCCCTTACATACTACCTTCTTCAATCAACTGTCCTCATCCCTTACATACTACCTTCTTCAAAACTGTCCTCATCCCTTACATACTACCTTCTTCAAAACTGTCCTCTTCCCTTACATACTACCTTCTTCAATCAACTGTCCTCATCCCTTACATACTACCTTCTTCAAAACTGTCCTCATCCCTTACATACTACCTTCTTCAAAACTGTCCTCATCCCTTACATACTACCTTCTTCAATCAACTGTCCTCATCTCTTACATACTACCTTCTTCAAAACTGTCCTCATCCCTTACATACTACCTTCTTCAAAACTGTCCTCTTCCCTTACATACTACCTTCTTCAATCAACTGTCCTCATCCCTTACATACTACCTTCTTCAAAACTGTCCTCTTCCCTTACATACTACCTTCTTCAATCAACTGTCCTCATCCCTTACATACTACCTTCTTCAATCAACTGTCCTCATCCCTTACATACTACCTTCTTCAAAACTGTCCTCATCCCTTACATACTACCTTCTTCAAAACTGTCCTCTTCCCTTACATACTACCTTCTTCAATCAACTGTCCTCATCTCTTACATACTACCTTCTTCAAATCAACTTCAGAATATTTAAGAGGGTAGATGCCAAGTGTGTGTGTTAGGAGCATCACACCCCTAAATGTATGAATTGAAGAAAGCAGAGAACCACCTGGACTCAAATATCCGGGGGCTATGTTATTATGGGACTTTCAATTGACACTCATAAAAAAGGTATACTGACAATGAAATACATAAAATTATTCATTTTATTACGTTCCATTAAAAAAGACAAACTATAAGAAAAAAAGTGAGATAAAATACACAGATACAATCTGGAAGCAATACGAACCCACCCAGGACCATGACTATATCAAAATAATTTGTCCATAGTATTCTTTGTATATACAAGATGGCGATGAAGCATTGTCCTCTTAGTTGGTTGATATATCATAGAACATAGACCCCATGTATTTGAGTTCAGGTGGTTTTCTGCTTTCTTCAATTTAATCAACTTCCCTTGTAACATAACAAAACTACAAGCCAAAAGGATTGTGTCCAAAGGGTAGGTCTTTTTATTGCCATTTGAATTACCCAATAATACCCCCTGGGGGGGAGTACCGTCCAGATTTATAAATAGAGCCTATAGCGTGAACGGACCTATATAGATTGCTGACTGTATAGTGATACACCACTGAAATAATGATAATGTAATAAGCCTGACACAGGGAGAGACATGACAAAGTGATGCTCTAGTTCAGTGGTGGCGAACCTTGGCACTCCAGCTGTGCCAAAACTACAAATCCCAACATGCATCTGCCTCTGGGAGTTATGTCTGTGGCTGTCAGAGCCTTGCAATACCTCATGGGACTTGTAGTTCCAAAACCGCTGGGTTACCAAGGTTCGCCACCACTCCTCTAGTTTGACTAAATAAGTGGACCGGCACCTTTGAAAACCTTATGTCTACAAGCAATATATTTGTGAAGCTGTGGGGTGGGAGAACAAAATTCTGTGTTCTTCCAACAGGGTTATTCACAAAAGGGTGAAGAGTTTGGAGAAGTGACCAATCTAGGACAACATAGCTGACCTGGAAAGTGAGCTGAATTGGAGACTTTTTCCAGTGCAGCTATGTTGTCCTAGATTGTTCACTTCTCCTGCCTTCTCCAAACTCTTCACCCTTCTGTAAATAACCCTGCAAGTGTCTATGGTGGCTTGGATCGGAAGTAGATTTAGCAATAGAGATTTGGAAACAAATTTGATAGCAAGCAAAAAGCCTTTGGCTGATCACAGAGCAATAAGAGAGCTTATTGACAACATGAGACCACCAAGATTTGACTTGGTCTAAGAGTATCACTTGGTAATAGTGGTATATTTTGTGAATCCCCATTCCTCCAACACTTGTCGATGGAATGTCAAAAATACATTTAAATGTTTTGTAACTCCACATAGTGATTAATATACTTTTGGAGCGGTTAAAAGAAGGCTTTTGGGGCGGCGTGAGGGGGGATTGGTACAATTCGGAAAGTGTACAAATGTTTAGGATACATAAGCATTATAAAAGCAGTATCTCTTCCTGCTGTGGATAATTCATTTACTCATAGGTCCTTGAGGTCAAGAGGAAGATTGTCTAAGATTGTTTTTTATGGTTAAGGGCAGTCTACAAACAAAGAGAATAATAGCAGGAGTCAGACCATAAATCTTACCATGAAATAATTGGGGTCATTTTCAGGCGTTGATTCACTGAAGGTTGACGCTGTATGAACTCTTCCCCAGTTACTCGACCGAAGCTCCACCAATTTTAGTAGCATTTGTTTGACATCCCTGAAACAAAAAACACAGAAATACATGATTATGGCAATTAAAAAAAATATAATGTGCTTCTGCAAAAGAGGTTTCACATGACCCCAAAGCCCAAATTTGATACAAACTGCGATGGGCTAATTGCCATTTTCAACCTGCTACATTCTGCATCCAGAACTACATTCTTCATTCTCAGGATCACTTCCTCCATATAAGAGATCCCTTTCTCTTTCCATGCATCTTCAAGGACCGACCCGGTTAGCTAAAAAAATAACAAAAGTGCAACATTTAAATGGCATTTTACACAGTGGGTGAAAGCATGTGCCTGTAGAACTTGGGGCCTCTGCACATGGGAGCATTTGGTACTGCTATGCTAGACATGACCAACTGGACACACGTGGCAACCTTTATTCTATTTACTTTTTCATTCCTATGGTCCTCAGTGCCATCTAGTGGTAGTGTGCAATGCGAATGGCATTCACCCAACTACATGCAGGGTGAAAGATTTATAAATCAGTCCCAATGTGCGAGCAGGATCTTATAAGTTAAGGCAGCAGTATGGTTTTGCTGGGAAAGATAGTAATCTCTGCATGTGGAGAGGGAAAGAAGGGTGTGGTTCTGTAGTCCTGCAGGGTAGAAATCCTGACAGGGAGTTAGGAGCCCATTGAATTTCTGACATGTTTAAAACACAATTAAAGTGTTGAACATGTCCTGTAGACTATGGGATGGGGAGATCATAGTTTTCTCAGGTTACAGATCTGGGCATGGATGGATAGGCAGGTTTCAGGCTGTGCATGAATATACAGTACAACAAGACACTACTATCTGTTTTTACCTTTAGCAGTTTCACAGCACAAATAACGTTATCATCCACAGGATTGGAGAATAAAGCGTCCAACAGCTCCTTGAGACCGCTTTGCAGGATCTGTGCTCTGGACACCTGTCCCTTTGCCCCTTTTACCTGAAAGCATAACCAACCAGACAAGTGTTCAGCCACTAAATGCTAACAATCCTTTCAAATGATAAGTATATCTTTAAGATCATATACGGATATTAAAATTACTTTCATTTCACATATAATTCCCTGCAAAAGAAGTCATTTAAATCAGCTGATCGGAGGAGCCAGTGGGAAAATCGTCGACTGAACAGAGCGGGCAGCCAATGAGCTGCCTGCTCTGGTCGGCCATTCTGGCAACAGCCGGCTGCCGCTGTCGGGGAACAATGGATACAGTGGGAGATTCCTCAATCAACAATCATAAGCATTGATGCAGGAATCTATTGTTTTATTTGTTCAGTGCACAGGCTGAATGAAGAAAATATTACAGTGTATGGCCAGTTTAAAAGGAGAGCTTTGAGGTGAGCGATTTCCACTCATTCTCATAGTTAGAGCCGACCTGTGACAAAGAAGCTGTCACAGGTCGACTCTATCGATCGGGAAGTGAGCAGAAACATGAAGCCGATCGTCTCTCTGCAGGGAGCGGTGACTGACAGACACCATTCACCGCAGGGATTCCCCTCTCCAATCCTCCAGCGCTGAGTGGAGCAATGGATGGAGCTGGTACAGCTGGCTCTGACTCTAGATAGGCAGATCCCGCTGTCACTCATGCAGCTGGGTGGATGTCGACAGTATTATCAGGATCCCTCCTGGCTGCGGCGGTCTCACTATTGCCTGCGATATACTGAGCTTTTGGTCACGGGAGGAGGTTAGTATATGTCCTCCCATGACCCTAAAGAGAACAATTGGGGAAAAACACTTACCCCATAGTTCTTTAAGTAAGTTTCTTCTTACTCCATAATCCCACTATGTACTGTATGGTAACATTTTGATCTACTGCTCAAATTTAGAGATTAACACACCTTCACCTCTTTCAGTGTCCTGCAGCAAAATTCCTGAGAGCATGTGGCACAGAGGCAACAAACCCAAAAGGGCTTTAAAAAAAGTACTATTTTTTCAGGTTATAAGAAGTAAAATGACAAACTTTTTGATGGCTTTACTTCTCTTTTGGGTCACTGAAGTATATTTACAGCAAAGCATTACAGCATTAGCAAATGTATCTTCTAAAATGTACTAATGTACTTTACTAATGTACTCCTGTGAGCCAAAGTTAGCAGACAGCAAGCTAATGTTGGTGATCTGCTGACAGCACAGAAGTGCAGCTGGAAAGGATCTGAACGATATTGTTGGGATCCACCCCGCTGCCTAAGTGACAGTTTGCTTTGTCTGTCCCTCCAGTGAGCATTGGAGAAACAGAGAGGGGAAGGTGGAATACCTGCTCTCCACTTTAAGAAGAGACTGTGATCAGCGGTTCCATGATCAGACAGCTCTCAGTCTTTAGCGTGTGACAGCTGCAGTCTCCCACTCCAGCTCTCAGCTGTGGGGAGAGTATATTTTAGTCACCCCGCATTTCTCCTTTACGTTGCTTACCTCTTTTACTGCTTGTCTACAGCAATGCCTAAGCACAGTATGTGACCCAAGGTCTAAGCTTAGCGTCAAACAACCCTGCCTGCCCAACTAAAGCACATGTGCTAAACGTTTTTTCCAAATTGCTAACAAGCTACTACAACCACTGCCAGATACACTCCTTCCCACTAATAACAATGTGAAACCAAAGTGAGATAGGAGCTGCAAAACTAACTTTAGTGGTAGGTTTCTGCCACAACAATCACATAATTAAATTAAGGTACTGTGGACTTAAAAAGCCCTCCACTAAGACTAAGTTCAGCATCACTGAAACCTCCTAAAGCAGAATTTATCTGCATGTCTCACTACCATCACAAAGCAAACAAATTGTTGGGTTTCTCATTGTAATGTAGTGGGTGGAGCTATGCAAATCACTTATTTTAGCCCTTGGGGCAATACTACTTTACAGCACAAATACGGGACACAGAGATCGACCTGCCAATTATAAAAGCAAATATAATCTTAGAATTATATTCCCCTATTGGACAGACCTGTTTAATGAACTGATGACCCAGATGAACCAAGTTCCACCAATATCACATACGGCGGCGATACATGACTTTTTAATTCATCACGTGTGTCTTACCTCAAGGTTGAGATATAGTTCACCCAGGAACAGTACGAAAGCATGAAATCGCTTTCTTGTAGCTTCATCACCTTTTGCTAACTGGTCTCTCTTTTCAAATTCTGTCTGACACCTGTAGACGAGATCAAAAATGAGAAATACAAAATGGACAAATGAAATGGAATCATTTAAAACCCAGTTACAATATGTTCCATAATCTGGTGACAATTAATCTTAGGAAAAGCAGATTACCACCAAGGGTAAGAAAGAGCACCTGATGAGAGACCTTATCCAGGAGAAGATACATTTGATGGTGATTTTATTGTTTTGTTATGTAAAAAGGGACTTCCAATTAATTATGTCAATTTTCAATTCACAAAGAAAACAAAGTTTACTGAAATTTGCTTCTTTATTACCACTCCTAAAGGAAATCAAGAGAGCGGAAATGTGCTCATTCCCCAGATAGTGCCCTAAGAATAGTTTCAATTTATTATTCTATCAATGATGCAGTGGAAGTGGAAGCAGACCTGCCAATCCTGCCTTTGCCTATCCACACACTGCTCTGGTATTCCAGGGTTTGCTCAGGACAGCAAGGAGACACAATCCCACCAGTAGCTTTTGCGACTGCCTGTGGCCCTAATCCTACTTCATCATGCCAGCAACCACTCCCAGGGTGCTTCTTGAAGAACCATCTGCATATTGATATAAACCGATTACAGTACACAATGTGCATGTAAGTATTTGGCGTTTGTCATTTTTTTCCCCTTTCAGCATCAAGGTATTTCAGTTCTATGGCATCCATACACCCAGACTCCTTTCTAAGGGAAGAACATGATCTCCAATTTAGAGAAATCAATTGATATAGTCACCTCTTGAGCAGCAACTGTCTGAAGTTCCAGTTCTGTGGGCTTATCAGTAGGTTAATAGACAGATGATTGCACAGACGTGCTCCTGTGTATGAGAAGTTTGGTACCGAAGTTGCCTTAAAAATATACCAAAAGTATAGTTTAAGACAATAAAATAAGACAAAATGTTCATCTTATTGATTTACTCCATTTAGAATTTTGCATGCAAAGAGGCCAAAACAAAAATGGGTCCTTTTTCTGGGGTTAAGACACAAATTTATCATCAATATGGCCAAATAAGTGTATGCCGAGGTATAATGTTCAAACCTCATCATACATAACCATTTCATATTTTGCTGCATCCTCCACATGCACGATATACCAATGCACACACTATGGTACTTCTTTCACAGTTTAATACGGCCGAATTGGATTACACATTAGGAACTTCAGGATAAGTCTAGTGCCTGCAGTACGTCATAGGAGATTTAGGCCAGGAAAGACTTGTAAACATATGATAAAGTAGTTGGCACTGTGATTATAAAGTTCAAATGCTCAAGTTATAAGGTATGTATGTAATGAGCATTGATGTGTCTGCAGGCTTAGCTCCTCCTTATGGCATTTGTACTCAATCAGTAAACAAGTACAGGGAAGGCAGAGAAAGCTTGGCATATGCCTTAAAGTGCACCTGTGCTCAGACTAAAGGCTTTAAAAATGTTAACACTCTTAAATCAGTAGTAATAGAGCTTTAAAACAAGCCATCACCAACCTCTTTAGCTGCTTGAACTCTGCGGTAATTCATCCTCAAAGATCACAACAAGGACCTTTGCTAGTTGTAGTTGGTTTCTAGCAGCTTGTTTTAAAGCTCTTTTGTTCCCCATGATCCCTGTGCGTGTTGTAAAGTAGTCACCGCTCCAAGCTTGCTCCCGTGATGAATACAATCCCAATACAAATTAGTAAACTAAACATGAGATTGTAGTCCATCATGGGAGTGAGCTTGGAGAGGTGGCTACTTTACAACACGCACAGGGATCATGGGGAACAAAAGTAGGCACCCTCCAGAGGGAAGGACAGTGTCAGCACCAATTCAGAGATGATTTGAGGATCTACAGCCGAGTGATACACAAATAAGATACATTTTTATTAATAGTTAAGGAGTTCTAAAGTCCCAGCATTTATTTTCTTGTTATAACATCAGCATTGTAATAGGAATACTGAGTGCTGCCTTCCATCTGCCCATCACTTTCAACAAATTCCTGTATTCCCAGTGTGCTTTGCATCTTTCCTTGTTGCTGAATGTCTCAATTTCTCAAGACTACATATTCCATCATGCATTGCTTCCAGCAAGCAATGATGATGTCACATTGTTCAGATGTCAAGTTGTAGTTCATAAGGTTGGCTTAGTTAGAGTGGTGACACAAGGAAGTGTATATATTAACATGGCTGGGCGAAGTAGTGTCAGTGCATTGAGGAGGTGCAACCTATGGGCATCTTCAAAAAAATAATGTTTACAAAGTTCTGGATCGATATGGTGGGATAGAGCAAGATGGAAATTCAATCCAGAAATGCAGCTTTTTGGCCATAGATATCCTTTAACCACTTCCCGTCCGCCGAACGACGGCCAGACGGGAGTCTCCTGGAAGCGGGTGGGCATCTTTAGACGTCCTTCGTATCCGCACAAGCGGGAAACCACCAGGATTTTAAACGGCCAGCGATGGCCGTTTACATACAAGCAGTCCGGTGTCTGTAAAGACGCCCGATCGCTTGTATGATGCAAGTCAGGGTGACCCCCCTCTTCTCGCCGTCACCGCGATCCCGGGCGTCATCTATCCCGGGTGATGTGGCGCGACTCTGTGTACTGAGAACGGAGGGAGTTCAGTACACCGCTCTCCTCCCTCCGCTCTCCTCCCGGTGTATGTTACATCACTTCCGCATTCCCCTGTCACGCTCCGGTACAGAAACCGGAGAGAAGCACATCTGTGCTTCATCAGCTTCTCTGGGGGGTCCCTAGGTGACACTAGGGGTCTTAGAGACCTCTGATGTCTCCATAAAGCGGACCTGTCACTGTAGTTGGTTATTACATAGGGGACTTCTTAGCACCCTATGTGATAACAATAAAGTTAAGTGTATAAAAAAAAGTGTTAAAAAAAAATTGCTCACAAAATAAAATTTACACACACACAAATAAAAAAAAACCCACAAAAGTTTTTTTAAAGTCCCCCACCTCCACATAGATGCGCAAAAATGCGTTAGGTGTGTCTACACGCAAAAACGACAATTGTGCCCATTACAGGCAATTGTGCAGGTTACATATCGCCGCGAACGTCGCAGTGAGAGCAATAATTTTAGGGCCATCAATCACTGATAACACTAAACTGATGAGCGCTAAACTCTTTTAAAGCAACACCTATGGCCAATTTTGGCTATGATAGTTTTTTGCGATTTCTCGGGGGCGTGCGCAATTTTAAGGCTTGACATGTTTGGTTTCTATTTACCCGATGTGACCCCGCCTTTTATATTTTACCAAAAAATTGAGTAAAAATAAATGTTTCCTAAAATAATTAGGTACTTTTTTTTTTATATAGTAAAAAATAAAACCCATAGTGGTGATTAAATACCACCAAAAGAAAGCGCTAGGTGTCCCCAAAAAAATGGTATAAAATTCATTTCAGTACAGCGTTGCATGACGGAATAAACGTCAGTTGAAGTACTGCAGCGCTGAATACTGAAAAATGGCCTGGCCAGGAAGGGGGTGTAAACACCCCGGTCAGCAAGTGGTTAAGTGCTTTTACTGCTTGTTCAGAATACGTAATTGCTTAGGCATAAGTTTACCTTATATGCTTTTTGCATCTATCATGGTTATATAGGAATTATATATAACAGTGTGCGCAGTGCTTTACAAAATAAGCATCAATGAAGGTTTTTTTGGATTTGAAAATATCATGCATATATCCTGCTTTAATCTGCGTGCCTCAATACTGCCTGACTGGCTCCACAGCCATGCAGAGATGAAAGCTGGTGGAATAGAAGTCTGTGAATGTTAAATGCCTTTCAGCAGACCACTGTGACACCACACTCTTCCACAAGCTAACCTTATTACAGCAGCTATAAGCAAGATGACTGAAGCAAATCCATGCGTGGCTTAAAACACAAACTGGCTCCATTTTTAACCCACCTATACTATAAATGCTATAGATGATCGTTTGCCTGTTACTTTACAATATGTTAAGTACCTGCTGATAGATAAGTTCCACGAGTTCCTTTAAGGATTCTTCTGTGGTAATGCAGTTGTTTAGTAAATCTGTAAACTGGCAGATTTCTGCCTCAAAACCTCCAGGCTGTTGAGTTAAATGGTTCAGTATGTCCTGAACATATTCTGCCAGGCTCATCTCTTGGACTGGATAGGCTCCATTTTCTTCTACATAGTTCTAGGACAAGAAGTAAGACAGGTTAACAATGTCACAGACTTAGCACACAATGACACTAAATTAAAGTGACACTAAACTCAGAAGTTAAATCCTAAATAACTGTAAAAAAATAAAACAAAGTCAAGGCAACTGGACTTGCGGTATTTTTCTTGAAGACGTTTCACTGGACATCTGACCAGCTTTCTCAATTCAGAATGACTTGTACAAAAATTATCTGGGAATAAATCTGGTGAATGTCACTCCAGTCCACATAATCTGTTAGTCACAACCAGGTGTAGATTGCATTTGCATAATTGAAGTCTAGGAGGGGTGATAAACCTGCCCATAGAGAGGTGTGTGTTCACCCCCCTCTATTCAAGCTTGGCTTCTCCATTTTTACATAAATGGCCTCTTTCACACCTCTTTTAAACCAATCCTCCTCCCTGTCTAAGATGCGTACTTGACTGTCTTCGAAGGAGTGACCTTTTTCCTTCAGATGTAGGTAGACTGCTCAATCCTGACCAGAGGGTTTGGCTCTTCTATGCTGTGCTATACGTTGGTGTAGCTGATGTTTTGTTTCACCGACATACAATTCTGAGCACTCCTCACTGCACTGGACTGCATACACAATGTTGTCCATCTCGTGTTTTGGTGTTGGGTCTTTCGGGTGAACCAGTTGTTGCCTAAGTGTATTGCTGGGTTTAAAGCAGACAGGTATGTGATGTTTATTAAAAACCCTTCTGAGTTTCTCAGACACCCCAGCTACATATGGGATGACCAAATTCTTCCGTTTGTCATGCTTTTCACCCTCACTGGTATTCTAGGCATTCTTTCCTCTTCTTTCTGTTTTGACAAAAGTCCAGTCTGAATACCCGCAAGTTTTAAGGGCCCCCCTGAGGTGTTTGAATTCCTTCGTCATGGCCTCTGTGCTGGTGGGAATTTTCTCTGCCTGGTGGTGTAGAGTCCTGATGACTCTCAGTTTGTGGTCTAGAGGGTGGTGGGAGTCACATAGCAGGTACTGGTCTGTGTGTGTTGGTTTTCGGTAGACCTCTATTTCCAGTGTCCTTCCTTCTTCTGCTGTTACAATTTAATTTCCAGCCTCCTTCCCTCTTCTGCTGTTACTAAACAATCCAAAAAAGCAAGTTTGTTGTTTTGCATATCTTCCTGTGTAAACTTGATGTTATGATCCACTGAGTTGATATGGTCAGTGAAAGCCTGTAACTCTTGTTTGTTAATCTTAAACCAAGTGTCATCCACATATCTGAACAATGACTGAACCAATTTGCCCATACACTTTACAACCCTCGCAAGACTTTTGTCTTGCGAGGGTTGTAAAGTACTTAAAAAAGTACGATCTGCGCATCTTGGACAGGCAGATCGTGCTTGCGATGACTGCAATGAGGGGCGCGCTTGGGAATACTGCAAACGAGCTGTGTGCGCGTGCGCACACCGGCCCGTTCGGCAGTTGTCGAACAAGCAGGCCACTAACTCGCCGAGAATCGTACGATTCCTGGCGGGTTTTCCAGCCTGCTTGTTCGACAGAAGATGTGCGACCGTACAGTAGAAACGGTCACACGCCTTCCATACACTGCACGATTTCCGTACGATCGCGGGATTTCCTGCGATTCTCGTACGAGAATCGTGCAGTGTATGGGCACCTTAACAGATTATGTGGATTGGAGCAACATTCACCATATTTATTCCCAGTTAATTTTTTGTACAAGTCATTCTGAATTGAGAAAGCTGGTTGGATGATCATTGAAACATCTTCAAGAAAAATACAGCAAGTCCAGTTGCTTTGACTTATTTTTTTACAGATATACCATGACCGGGTTTGAATGAGAACCTTCAAAGACATATTAAATCCTAAAAATACATTTGAGTTCCCTATTAACAATAATGTTTCTTATTTGTGTATCACTCGGCTGTAGATCCTCAAATCATCTCTGAATTGGTGCTGACACTGTCCTTCCTTCTGGAGGGGGGCTACTTTTGTTCATCATCCCTGTGTGTGTTGTAAAGTAGTCACTGCTCCAAGCTCGCTCTTGTGATGGACTACAATCTCAGGTTTAGTTTACTCATTTGTATTGAGATTGTAGTCCATCACGAGAGCAAGCTTGGAGCGGTGACTACTTTACAACACACACAGGGACCATGGGGAACAAAAGTAGCCCCCCTCCAGAAGGAAGGACAGTGTCAGCACCAATTCAGAGATGATTTGAGGATCTACAGCCGAGTGATACACAAATAAGATACATTTTTAATAGTTAAGGTACTTGAATGCATTTTTTACCGCCTGAGTTTAGTGTCACTTTAAGTTACAAAACAAATGAAATGGCATATCCAGAAAACACCCAATTTATTTTTACCATATGGTATATGATATAGGTACTGGGTCAACGAATGGCTGTGGAAGGTTTTAATGACACAATTATTTTTAATTTGAATATTTTTTTTCTGTTGCCTCCTAAAAAGTAAGCAGAAGGCAGCTGAAATGTGAACATAGTGGCAGAAATAGTTGCAGGAATTAGGCTTACTGTACTAAGTAGCCCATTCCAACAGGCAAGGAAAAAAAAAAGTATTCTCTTCTATTTAATTGCTGGCAATCTGAATGAAAAGCTGGCTCATTAGGTGTCTTGGGAATTGCAGTAGAAAGATATTGTCACAGATTAAAGGCTCCCATCTAAACAACTCTCTAATCCCTTTACTAAGTGATGTACAAGCATCATACGTAAACCAAATACTTCCTTTAGCTTCCCAGACTAAACGAATCTTCTTTCATTTGTGTTTCACATGCTCCCCCTACCAGACACTACAGCTCACAGAGGGAGGGGTTAAAGTAGTATTAAAAGGAGAACTATGAGGTGAGTGCTTTTTACTCACCTTATAGTTCTAGCCGACCTGTGACAATGAGACTGTCACAGGTCGGCTCAGTAGATCGGGAGGTGAGCGAACACATACCGGCGCTGGCTCACTTCTCGATCCTGTGCTGGCAGAGAGCCGTGACAGGGGAGGGACTGGATTCCCCCCTCCCCGCTCTGATCCTCCAGCGCTGACTGGCAGAACGGACGGGGGAGGGGGAGGGTACAGCTGGCTCTGCCTCTAGATAGTCAGAGCCAGTTGTCACTCAGGCAGCTGGGCGGATCCAGACATAATTGTCGGGATCCGCTTCAGCTGCGGCGTCTCAATATACCGCAAGCTGCAGCTTGCCATATGCTGAGCCTAGGGTGACGGGAGGACGCTAGTTTGTGTCCTCCCGTTGCCCTAAGGAGAACTATGGGGAAAAGCCCTAACCCCATAGTTCTCCTTTTAAACCCTCAATTTTTTTTCAATAATGAATCCAGATCAAACAAATATACATTGCCCAGGAAAGTATTTCTTTAAAATTTTTCAGCCATCTTGTTTCCAAACAGCTCCAACTCTCTCAGCTCAGCTACCCTAAACATTCTGTCCAGTACAAGATCACAAGGGACAGAGCAGTCTACAGCAGCCATCCATCTACTAGCTTGGAGAAGGGAAGAATGAGAATAAAGGAGATGTGGGAAGTGTCTTGCCTTGCTGTTCCTATGTTTATGGAGACACACACAGCTTACTAGCACACACAAGGGTGGCTTTATAGGACCCTGCAAGGGAAAGGAGCAATCCTAAAACAGAATATCAGGGCCAGTGCTCCGGGAAGCAGCTGATTCTGCAGGAAACTAAAATGTTTACACATCAAGAAGCAACATCCATTGTAAGTGGTTTTATCAGCTTTTAAACTAGCTTTAAAACTTTTTGACTTTAATATGATTTTAAACTAGAGGCAGAAAGATTGGGCTGGAGTAGGTATGGTCAGGGCTTGATTGACAAGATACAGGCTTGTACATCAGCAGTGACAATGCTGATTACCACACCCCATATAACTTTTTTTCTGCCCACTGTAGTGTAAGCAGACACTGACTACATGAGTGGAAACGCTGCTCTGAATTTAGAAGCAGTGCAGCATCCTTGCCTCCCCATTCCACCACAGAAAGCTGCATTAGGCAGACCTCACTGGCAGGCTCAACAACCATTTGTGGGACTTTGCAGGGGCACAACAATAGTGAAAGTGCAGATGCACAGCTCTCACTGGTTCCTCTCTATGACCTGCACCAATGTGGAGGACAGCAGGAGGAGAGCTGGGGGGGACTATAGAGATTTACACTGCCAGAAGCATCATTTTCAGCGTGAATTTAGTAGAAGACTTCACAGCATTAACATATAGCATGTCAACGCCAATCAGAAAGTCGCCATTCTAAGTGTCACACTCACATTGCACTCTACAGAGTACCCGGCAGGGTAAAACTCTGCGGCATTGACAGACAGGTTGGAGATGAGCCCTCCTGAATCTGGAGGATGGCTTTTGGATACTGCCATTGTGTTTTTCTGGATAAATGGAGTCTTCTTCTGACTTACTTGATCTACAGAAAAATAAAAAGACACGTCATGTAATTCAAATATTTAAAGACAAGAAAAATATGTTTTAAACTACAATAATACACATAACACTTCCCATCACCCAATACATTTAAGGCCTAGTTCACACCAGATGCAGTGCGCTCCGGCCCAGAACGCACTGCCTCGCATTGCGGCCGCCTCACTATTTTGTGGGGCAGGACGGGCGTGACGGGCCATTGAAGTGAATGGTACCGTAGCCACGCCCTCCGGCCACAATGCGATTGGCGGCACGGGATCGCAAGGCACATTATGCCTGCGGTCCGGTCCGATCAAAATAGTGCTTGCAGCATTTTTATCTCACCACACCGGACCGCAGGCATAATGTGCCTAGCGATCCCGTGCGGCCGTAAGGCATGGCTACGGTGCCATTCACTTCAATGGCCAGCCACGCCCCATCCTCCCCCACAAATAAGTGAGGCGGCCGCAATGTGAGGCAGTGCAGTCTGGCCAGAATCGGGCCGAAACGCACTGCATCTGGTGTGAACGAGTCCTAAAAGAGGATGCAGAGTCATGCTCTCAGCCCTGCATGTGCCTTGATTGCTGAACAGTGCACATTTTTTCCCTCCGTGAAAAAAAAACAAACCTGTATTCTAAGAGGAGGTAAAATGGTGGTTAGCCATGGAATCAAATCAGAAAGAGGAATTCTTTACAAACTGGAAATCTGACATCTCCAGCAGCCGTGCGGAGGTCAGATACGGATACTGACACTGAGCCAAGCTGGACCAATGTACGTTTTTATGAAAGATCATTCCTGGAGTTCATCAATAGAATCCTAGGCCACCATTGTTTGTCACTAAATTACTATGATGCACACATTTTTTTGCACACCCCTAATGAGGCCAAAGAGGTGGAGAAACAGGTCAGGTTATTTGTTTTTTTTTATGTTGGTTTATGGTAGGGCTGGACAAATCCCAGGAGCCAAGTAGTTAGTCACGGGAGAACACAAACTAGCGTTCTTCCATGATCCAAAGCTCAGTATATGGCGAGCTACAGACGCCGCAGCCAGGACAGATCCCGACAATTCTGTCTGGATCCACCTAGCTGGCTCTGCCTATCTAGAGGCCGAGCCAGCTGTGCCCGCCCCCTCCCCCGTCCATTTCGCCAGTCAGCGCTGGATGATCGGACAGAGGAGGGGGGGGCGAACCCTGCAGGGAGCTGTGAGTGACAGTCACGGCTTTCTGCAGGGATAGATCGAGAAGTGAGCGAGCGACGGTATGTGTTCGCTCACTTCCCGATCTACTGAGCCCACCTGTGACAGTTTCATTGTCACGGGTCGGCTCAGATTATGAGGCTGAGTGAAAATCACTCGTCTCATAATTCTCCTTTAACTTTTGAGGTTTTCTCTAGTTGGGGGTCAATGGAGCCGTCTCTTAAAAAAAACAATTCTATTTTCTCTTGGATTGGACAGACTGGCTCCTGAATTCCAACAAAATGTGTCCACCCCTGGTTTAGGGATTCCACATTTCTGCACTTTGTGAGATCCCTGCCTACTTCCGATTTAGATTTCTGAATAAAGAAAAAACGTAAAGACAACGGACAACAGGGAATAGCCGGGCATTCAAGCCTCTAGACCAGAGGAGGGCAAACTGCAGCCCTCCAGAGGAAACTAAAAATCCCATAAAGTCTGTCTGTGGGAGTCATGTCTGTGGCTGTCAGAGTCTTGCAATGCCTCATGGGATTTGTAGTTGCATCACAGCTGGAGGGCTGGAGTTTGCCCACCCATGCTCTAGTGCAGGGTTCAAAGGGGGGGGAGGCGCCTTGGCTGCTGCACATGCTCATTGCAAGTTTTCTTTCCCAGTAAGTGTCAGCGTCAGTGTTCCCTGGGCAACCCGGCCGGCCGTGGCTCTGAAACCCGCGCTTTCTGCTGTAACTGAGTAAACTCTGCAGAAGTTAGAGCAGTGATTAACCCCTATTGTGCCACAGGATCTATACAGTTTGGACGCACAAATGTTATGATTAATATGAGCAAATGTGTGTGTGTGTAATGCCCTGCGTGTAATGCCGCGTTTATGCCCCGTGTAATGCCCTGCGCGTTGTCCTGTGCGTATGCCCTGCGTGTTGTGCTGTGCATATGCCCTGCGTGTTGTGCTGTGCGTATGTGTAATGCCCTGCATGTTGTGCTGTGCGTGTTGTGTGTGTTTCTGCTATGCCCGGTATTGGTCCAGCAAGATAATTATTAGTTTGTTTCCAGGTACACTCGGTACATCTGTGCACAAGAAGAATAGGATGGAGTGGGGTCAGGCAGGGCAACTGGTGGTGGAGGAAAAGATTTTCAAAAAAAAAAACTAATACAACAGGAGTTAATTCAGGAGTCAGTCTGTCCAATCCAATGGGCCAACAGGATTTTTTTGGGAGCCAGATCCATTAACAACTAGAGCAAACCCTCTAAAGTTAGGCACCAGCTGTCATTTTCAAGAAGCACTGGCTACCTGGCTCATAGGATTTGTCCATCCCTGCAATAAAAATATTATAATATATTATATTTTGGGTTGCAACTAATTACTATTTTCATAATGGATTAGTTGGCCAATTATTTTTTCGATTAATCGGATAAAAAAAAAATACCATCCTTAATTTAAAATACACAAATGCAGTGTTACAAATGTAAAGTTTACTTCAGAATAAAACCGCATGCACTATTTTTTGCAATCACAGTGCACTGGAACGCACAGCATTGTGGTACCATAAGTTCCAGTGCGGGCAATCACACTGTGGGCGGGAGGCGCATTTGGGGTGTCATTGGAATGAATAGCACGGTAATGCATGTCCTGCAGCAAAATTTATCAGGCCGAAAGCAAAAATGACTTTTCTCACCATTTATAATAATTTTTTTAAATAATTGTATAGTAAGCACATGGCGCTTGAATAGCTTCAGCCAGGGAATGACGACTGCCAGTGACAAGATTCGGCAAACAGCAGTTGAATGTAAATACAGCAGGTAGTGGGCGGGAGCAATAGCCAGCCTGCTATTGGCCATTTCAAATTGGAACAGCCAATAGCAGGCTGGCTATTGCATCCGCTCCCTGCTTACTGTGCCCTCCTCCCAGCATGGAGGAGAGAGCTAGGGAATCCAACCAACTAATCGATAATGAGAATAGATGACAACTATTATTACCAAGTAATCTATTAGTTGGTTGCAGCCCTCATTATATTGTAATATAATATCCGTTGTCCAGAATCTGACATGTTAACTCAAAAGTGAACAAAATAATATGGAATTCAGGAGCCAGTAGGTTTCTTATTAGGAGCTCCCATGGCAACAACTAGAGAAAACCTAAAATGTTAGGTGCTGGCTGTAGATATTAAGAAGCTCCTGGGATTTGTCCAGCGCTGTGCCACCCACAAGTTGGCTGCATCTGTATGTGACTGAACACTTTTTAGTAGACATGTGCACTGCCAAAAAATTTGTTTCAAATTCGGATTTGTGTTATTTCGTTTTTCAGGATTCGGGTGTGAAAGTCAATTCGGATTCGGACGAAATTCGGTAGCGTTAGTACGAACGTTCGTTTCGTTTTCTGTTCTTATTCGTTTCGTTCGTTTGCAGCAAAAGTGACATTTGAGGGGGAAAAAAATATTTTTCTCCTTCTCTAATGTCACTTTGCTCCAACGAACAAGAAACGAATAAGAAACGAATAAGAACAGAAAACGAAGCGAACGTTCGTACGAACGCTACCGAATTTCGGAAATGGAAATTCGGATTAGTTTGCATTCGTTATGTCTGTAATTCGGAATTCGGATACATCCGAATGTCCGAATTTCCGAAAATTCGTCCGAATTTCGATTCGGAACGAAACGAATCGCACGTGTCTACTTTTTAGGATATTGCACATGACCTATACAATTATAAAATGATACTGCCCCTATGCTGCACTCCCCTCTGATAATCTAAATCCTCCATAATTCCTTTCTGTATTTCTCTTATCGCAGCAACTGTCAAAGTGCAAGAAAAGGAAGCAGCTATAATGTTCAGGAAAAGAAAAGTAGAAAAATTGTGATTGGAAGAAGCACCGAAGAGGAGGTAGACATTGATGGAAAGCTGTGGCATTCATGGTTAGTGTGTCTGCTATGATGGGGTCAGTATTTGGGTAATGGAAATTAAAGTAGTACTGGGATACTTCCCAATACTTAGAGTGGGTGTGGGATTCTGCAGCGGTCACACGCCGGCTCACGGTCTCCTCCCTGCAGAGTTGTGACTGGCAGTCATCTCTTTCCAAAAGGATTCCCCCTCCCCTCTCTGTTCCTCCAGCACTCATTGGAGCAGGGATGGCCAAACTCTGGCACTCCAGCTGTGGTGAATCTACAACTCCCATGAAGCATCTCTCTCCAGGAGTCATGTCTGTGGCTGTGAGAATCTTGCAAAGCCTCATGGGATTCGTAGTTCCACCACAGCTGGAGGGTCGCAGTTTGGCCATCCCTGCATTGGAGGGACAGACAGGGGAGGGGTGGGCACAGCTGGCTCTAGAAAGTCAGCTAGGTGGATCCTGATAATGTTGAGATTGTTCCGGAATGCAGCGTGGATCAGCCCGATCATATAGCTGGCAGTAGCCCTCTATACACTGATTCTGGGTCACAGGAAGACACTAGTAAACTCGTAAATGTAGTTCTGTGACCACAAAAAGAAAGGTTTGGAATTCCTTTTTTTTTGTTTTGACTGCTCACACCTTGAAATTGTGGGATCGTTATGTTGCCCACCACGGTATCTCTTCCTAGGTGGGCCCGATGACCCCTCTTTTTGCCAACTCAACTTTCCCTCCTGTCCGGATCCTCGTTTGGCCGCTGGAATAGAGACTCTCATCGCCGTATGGTCTAGGCTCGGAGGAAACAGCCCGAGGCGACGGATGTTCGTCTCGGTACGGCTCCCGCGAATTGGTTGGCGGAAGGGCAGTTTCGCTCTTTTGTCTCTTTTCCCAGCGCAGGCTGCTTCAGGCCTGGTTCACACCTGAACGTTTTGTAGCGCGTTCAAC